TTACCGACTGTCCATGACTCTTTGATCTTCGGCGTTTGCGATTGAACTGCAGTCCATTGAAAGCGTTGTTGCGTTGATCGCTTCTGCTTTTTGTTGGTGACTTTACAGGTTGTGCAAGCTTCTTTGCAGCTTTCAAGCCGGAATCGAACAATCGAGCTTCTTCACACGGCGTTTGGAACTTGCTCGGTTCCTTTGTTCAACAGTTGTAGTTGGCTTCTGTTTTACTGAGTTTCCTTTACTAACTGGTTGATTGTAGGAGGCGCTGGTGATTGCGGTGTTTTGCGAATACTCCTCCATTTTGATGTCGTACATACGAATGCTTCCGGAGATTGCATGGCCGAAAACAGTAGAGGTGAGAATAAGCCCAGACGAAAGAATTGTACATGGTCGATCCCTCAAGATAAATTGATCAATTAGATCCTGACCAATGAGAATGTCCGGTGTGATCCGTCGCGTCCGAACCAACCTTCTATCCTCTGCGCTTAGCCAAACTGTGCTCATCGTGGAAGTGAGTGTTGACTTTGTATGTATCTTCACAGCTTTGAAGCGACTCCGGCAGACATTGTTCTCAAAGTAAGCCGGACTTTACTGGATGTGAAATTTGCGGTAGATCCTCCAAGCTGCCAATCTTGAAAGTGGTGTTTTGCAGCACTGGTAAGCCAAGAGCTTGAGTCTTCCTTGTGTTGATGAAGCTCTTGTGTGCACCTCCATCAAAGAAGACAGTCACGGGCTTATAGCTGGTCGATGTATAGTCGTTTGCGAATGCAGTCGCCGTCATCAGTACGTGCTGCATTCCTCCTTCTCGTTTAGTGCTCTTGCTGTGGAAAATTTCAGAATTTTGTGCAAATTCAGGGTTTCTTGGGAGATGTTGATTGCGAGCAGATCGTTGCTATGATCTCCTGGTTGGGGTGCCTCTAGATGCTGATTAGGTACCCATGCATACGGCAGTATGATGGCTTCCGTGACACTTGTAGCATGACTATGAGCTGGTGCAATCAATAATCCTGTGATCGGTATGAAGACATCTGAAGCACAGCCTTTGTTTCCTGGCTTCATCATGTCACTTTGCCGCTGTTTGGAATAATGTGCATCTCGTCGCATCATGCTGATAAATTCCGCAGATGCATTGAGCACTCGAATCTCTCGAAGATGTACTTCCTCGGTTATGTTTCAAATTGTATATTGAGTCTTCTTCATAGTTCCCCTCTCATCAACTTCTTGATCGAAATCAGAGCGTGACGTGATGTTGCAATTCCCGAATGCGGATGTACTTATGCTAGCGTCTCCTTTAAAGCGACAGCGTTTTCGAGAACGTCAAAGATTTTCCAGTTGTGAAAGATTTCCCTTCGTTCTGCTCTTCGCAAAGCACTTTCTCGTTCAGCGAGTCTGGAAACTTTGAAAGTATTAGTCGTCTCCACATTGTCTGTCTCCACATCGGTTGTTGTCCAAGGGTACTCCTGCACATTCGATGTGAGTGAGCTTTTCGTTGTACTAATCAGAGCTTTTCTACAGCTTTGTTCCTCTTCTTCTGCTCGTGGAAGCCTTTTGAGCTCTGTGATAATCAGATCTGCTATGCATCCAGATTTGTTGAAGCGCTTATCGAGAAGTAGTGTAGCTTTGCCGTAGTTCTCTCCGATGACTGGCATATTGCCAAGAAGTGAAATTGCTGTTCCTTTTAATGCCTGCCTCAAGAAAAGGAACTTGTCCACGTTGCTGAGCTGCGGGTTGCTATGGATCAGCGAGTTGAATATTGTCCAGAAAGTTGGATACTCCTTATAGCTGCCATCGAAAGTGGGAACTTCAAGCTGCCGTAGTCGTACATTGTTTCCAGAAGACTGCCTTGTTGATGAGTAAGTCTTCGTTTGGATCTCTCGGTGAACTGGAACATGACGACGTCGTTACAGCGTGGGCTTGGATCAGCTTCGACTACTTCTCCAGTTCTCTTCTTCGGTACTTCAATCTATTTGACCAGTATACAGCTTCCATCTGCACTCTGTTTGCTGTAGTAGAAAGAAATGCATAAAAATCGGTCAAAAGCCTTTCTCTTTCTGATTGGTCCTTTCTTAGTCCGAGAAAGCTCATAGCATTTTGGATTTGTGCTTCCAGGTATTCCGAGATGCCTTTTAGAGAGATTTCTGCTTCTTCAATTCCTGCCATTTTATCCATAACGAAGGCATTGCATTCCGATGCCGTTGTTGGAAAGTTGAAGGCTTGATCTATTTCCCTGGTTTTGTCCTGGAGGCTGCTAATTGAAGAGCAAGCTACTAAGATGCGTGTGAATCCTCCGAGCCTAGCCATTGTTTGTCTGGTGCTCATGGACTTGATGCGACTGAAAGCTGGAGTTTGTTCTTTGCTAAGCTGTAGACTTGATGGCTAGCAGCAAGCTCTAGGGTCGTTTGCTAACTGTGGATTGACCAGGCAGCTAATGTGACCTCTCTACTAAGCTGTGGATCGGACCTGATAGTTTAGTAAGGTGACTCTTGTATATGAAAGTGGTGAACCAGCAATCACAGTCTTTTTTTGGCTGTTGGAAACCAAAAGTGTTCGAGGGGTTCTTTTGCTAACAGTGGTGGACCAGTCAGTTAGTTAGAAACCTCTTTGCTAAGCTATGGGTAGGACCTGATAGTTTTAGCAAGTGTACTCTTGTATGTGAAAGTGGTGAACCAGCAATCACAGAGTCTTTTTTGACTTCAAGAAAGCCAAAAGTTTCGAGAAGTTCTTGTACTAACTGTAGTGAACCAGTCAGTTAGTTAGAAAACCTCTGTAAGCTATGGATATGACCTGATAGCTTAGCAAGGTCCGAGTTAGTGAAAGTGGTGAACCGCAATCACTTGGGTCGAATATGGCTAATTAGTAGCCGAAAGGTGCGACGAGTCTGTTTGCTAACTGTGGTGAACCAGTCAATTAGCTAGAAACCTCTACTAAGCTGTGGATAGGACCTGACAGCTTAGTAGGACTCTTATTCGCAAGAGTGGTGGACCAACAATTACGAGAGTCGAATATGGGCTTACAAGGGAAGTTCACTTTATCGAAGTGGGGCCCCGGAAGAGAATCTATACCAATTGATAGAGCTTAAGACGCTGATCTAAGATATGCCTTCTATATCTGCGATGCTTTGTTTTGAAAAAAGTTATGAGCTTTTCTAGAGCCGATTTTTCGTGCATTCTGAGTCGCAAAATCATGATAATTTCTACACGAAAGTGTGCAAGCTCAAGCAAACCACCTAGTAAGCATTGTAGGTCCAATTCAAGTTTTCATCTGAATTTCGAGTGTTTTCCGACCATGTTGTTCATCCACAGGTCGTCATTTCCTTCCTAGATCTCACTTCCATTATATATACAAAAAAGCCCACAACCTCCAACTAGAAGGAACGCTTCGCAGATATTGAAGATATATTTGAGAACATCGTTTTACTTTTCATCCTTTGGTAAACTACAAAAAGTTTCCGACGCGACGCTTTTTATAGATGGAGGTTATGGGGCTTTTTTGTATACATAATGGAAGTGTGATCTAGGAATGAAATGACGACCTGTGGATGAACAACATGGTCGAAAAACACTCGAAAGCGTTCGAATAAACTCGAATTAGGCCTACAATGCTTATTAGGTGGTTTACTTAAGCTTGCACACTTTTATAGAGGTTTATTGATTTTGCGCTCAAAATGCACGAATATTTGGCTTTAAAAAACTCGTAACTTTTTCTAGAACAGTGCATCGCAGATATAGAAGGTATATCTGAGATCAGCGTTTTAAGCTCTATTCATTGGTATAGATCTCCTTCCGAATCACCACTTTAACTAGGTGAGCTTCCCTTGTTAGTAGCCTGCCGCGGGACTTTATCAGCTTCCTGGGTTGCAAACGCGGAAAGTGATCCGTAGGCCGAATGCACCAATTTGGTATACACCAAGCTGGTACCACACGGGTGTAACTGTTTATTAGATAAAAGCGGAGCAGCCGCTGACTATCAATAGTGAATATGGGGAACAGCCGCTGACGATAATGGTAGTAATCGAACCAACACCAGAACTGAGTATTCAGGCCCCTTTACGCCACTATTTTGGGCGAAGATAACTTGAATGCTCACTTCTGGCACATAACAGTATCATACAGAATCATTGCCTACACGAAAGTAGGAGCTGCCAACTACACTATCAAACACAGTGGAGGGATGACCTGGCGGCTTAAAGGCAGTGTCCGGGCAAAAAGTCAATTTTGAATTGTGCTTATTGAGGCCTATTCGCTATGCTGAATTCGAAAATCCATGGAAAGCGCGAAAACGGCAAAAAAGGGGTCTAACGCAGGAGGGAGATCGGAAGTGGGCGAGGTCCTCCCCACTGTGAATTTCGCAGTTTCAGCTTCGGGAGCAATTTTCCCAATTCCTCTAGCGCCCTGAGATCTCCACCGGCCAGGTGCGAATGTATGACTTGAAATCGGAACCGAGAAGATCGCTCTGGAAGCTGGGAGCGTGATTTCACAGTGGGGAGGACTCCGCCCACCTGCTGATTTCCCTCCCGTGTTAGAGCCGTTTTTCGCCGTTTTCGCGCTCTCCAATGTGCATCTTCGGATTCAGCGTAGCGAATAGGCCCGGTAAGCAAAAAATCTCAAGATCGAGTTTTTGCCCGGACACTGCCTTTAAGTGGTCAGTGAACAGTATTGTCTGTCAACGACAGGCTAGTGGATACTGAATATAGCACACGATAACTCTACAATGGTAAAGGTCGTAGGTTCGACGAGACGGCATATGGAGGGACTAGCGGAGTTTGTCAAAATCCAAATTTCAGATGGTAAAATTGCTTTCGATTTGGCTTCAAACTTCACCGATTATAATTTAGGCGAATCTTTATAGTCATTTTGTAGAGTTGCTTTGTTTAGAACCGAATGTACTCAAAGTGAATCCCCATGTGAGTATTTCTTAGATGTTTATAAATCGATGAAGCAACAGCAGATTTATTCTGTAACAACGGATGACAAGGCAAGTCTTTTTCTACTGATCAAAGGCATGGCAAATGAAAAAGCTGACATCTCAAAAAGCTTTTAGCTTGTACTAATTTTCAAATCTTTCTCATGCAAATCAAAGCATTGCTAACATTTGCAATCTTGAAAATGTAGCATAATTCACCGGAAAACCGAAGACGATGTTCAAGCCTTTGCACAAGCGTCTGGGGGCACTACACAGGCGAAGGAAAAGTTGTCAGTACACTTGACATCGTTCCATGTGCCTTCCGAAGTGACCTGAAAGTATGATGACTGAATTTGGATAGCTTCACTGAAAGCAAAAGCTCTGTTATTTTGATCTTTCAATACACATCACCACAAGCTTTGCAAGTATAGAATTTCATCTTATTGACGATTTGAATCTTTCGTTGCAGATCTAGGGCTACCTAGTTTCAGAAAAATGCCTAAAATTCTCTTTTTCGTTCCGATCTTTGAATCTCTGACATACGCTTCAAGGAAAAGTCATTCTTCAAAGCGCATTTTCCTTCAGTAACTAGATTTATGAAAATTGATCGGAATAGCAAAGTGAATTATTGTGCGACGGAACTTTGTGTCCAGCTTATTCATCTCTTTCTCAGGGCTCGGCACGAGCTGGCACCAGGGAAATTTCAAAACAAAGTCCCGTTCAATCCTGAAAATTTCGTACGAAGTACCCTTTGACCTGTTTTGAAGACGCGCCATTATTTTTAGATTATGTAAAAGTATGTAGTTGGGTTTTCATGCATACTGATTTCATGAAACAATTCACAACTTTCTGAGCTTTTTATGTGATTGAATCACATCTTGAGAAGCAGAAAAAGCCGATATTCTGAGTGTAGAGCAGACCGAGTAATTTTCAGATGGCTATAAAACGCTGAAAAGAGAACATTATAAAATTGTTTCTACTCTATGTGTAACTTCAACAGTGTAGATACATTTTAAAAATGTAAAAAAGTATGAAAACTTATGTAAGCAAAGTGTCGGTGCCAGCTAATTAAGAAAAAAGTTCAGCACAGCTTTCATTCATATAAGTTTTCATAACTTTTTCGGCCATAGTTCGGGTCTCTTAACGCGCATGTACACACCAAATCCTGGTGTCAATACTATGCGTTTTGGCTGAAAACAACGCCTTTGTTTGTTTGATGGACAGCATGCCGGTGGCATTCCGGTGGCATTCTTGCGACTCTTCTCCGCCCGGACCCCGGAAAAACGATATCCCCTTTGCTTTCTGCTCTAAAAACGATATATATCCAGCTTGACCAGGTGCCAGCTGTGCCAAGCTCTGCTCTTTCTGCATTGTCAAGAGGCTCGGAATCTTTCCACATAAAGCCTCACCTCCTTGGTTGCGCCACAATTTCGGTTTTGCCTGTCAAAATCAAAATTAAAACGTTGTCTCTCAGTAATCCATTCACAAAGACGCAACGCAAAAGTAAATCTTTCGACCGAATTGAAGTGCTACACTGCTTATACAGAGCTTTTTCAACTTAAACACGTTTGGTGAAAATATAAAAAGCTTGCTCAAGTTTGGCAACGCAGATTATTTTTGAAGATAAAAGTGTATTATCTTTTTCCAAGAGTTTATGCGACTGCAGATTACAATAGCCAAGAACTTCTACAGACATCGATCACGGATTGATTCATGTCGATTTTTGGGCTAATATGTACAATAAGAATAAAAGGATGGTCTAGGGTTTTATCAACTCACTGCTGTGCAATACTCTTGTCCTTCTGAGTGTGAAGGCTCTCCTTCCCTCCATTTCTCGTAATGCATTTCTGAACCATCAAGCCAGTATTTCTCCAAAGTCTTCTTGAACATCAAACCAATCAGAATTTCCCGACCTTCCACGGACTTGCTCCATCCTGGAAAATTATATCGGGAACTAGAAATGCAGCAGGCACTGAAGAAATTACGTTATTTGTTTCTCGATCACGCTATTATAAAACTTAATCTAGATCTACACTCCTGGAATGAACAAAATGTTGAAACTGCTTATCTAGGTATAAAACTAATATAGTTAGCAGTCAAGAAAATTGTAGAAATTACTCATTTTCAGTTGCATTGAGTGATCGAAACAACTTTTCTTTAGTACTACTGAGTTTTCAAGACCTACCTGCAAAAAGCATAGAATCTTTCAAAATATGTTGCAGTCTCTACCAACTATTCGCTACTGAAATAACTTAGCTTTGATGTCACCTCAAACGTCTATGCTAGTACCCGAAATAATTTTTGTCAGAGAACTACATCTACTATTTCAGCGTTTGAAATAGAGAGCAGGAAGATGTCACCTGTGAGAAGGTCATTTACTTTGTCCGAATGAATCGAGGCCAGATGTCCGCGGTATTTGTTGCAGATATCCTCGGCCTCAATAGCGCTTTTCTTTGACTTAAATGCCTATAATATCACCAGAATGAATGCATACATCAATAAGCATTTTCGTTTTACCTTATAACATGACCGTTGTACTGTTTGCGAAGTAGGGGTGGTTTTTTCATCTAAACGCAATTTTTTAGATGAATGCAAACTAATAAAATACGACTGAGGTTGTAATGACTTTCATTTTGGTGGACGTTCCTGCCAATTCGCCTTTTTCGGAGGAACAAATGATCTTATACCCTTCCAAAGGTCTCGTCGAATGCAAGGAACAAACATGAAGTTGATTAAAACGAAAATGGAAGTCATGCTTAAGATCAACAACCTACCTGAGACTTTGCTGAGTGTCAGTCACGGATCACCATTTGAGGAACGAATGAACCACTAGTAAGTTAGGTTTTCGGGTTGTTACGGTTGTAGGTCAAACCCGAAAGGTAAGGAAAAGCGAGTTCCTTTGTTACCGGAAAGCATTATTCCTGTTCATTTGGAGATTTCTACGAGAAATCCAACACTCTAACGTCTTGCGCGTCGCGACCTCCACTTTTCGAGACAGAGACGCGAAAACATCAAATTCCGTACCCTGGTGCTGCAGCATGCGATGAGTGCCTAGCGTTTAGTTGATAGTTTTGACTCGAGCATCTCATGCTGTGGTCCTTGACCCCCGGCACAATGCCTTCAATTTTCCCTGTATGCCCGGACAATTTACATGTTATAAGTAGATAACTAGAAAAAGTTCAGCAGACATTCACTCATATTTTGTTCCTAAGCCGCAAAAGCATAAGTTACGCCGAAATGCCAAAATATGGAAGTTGTCTGAAACATTTGGCAATGAAAATTTTGGACAGAGTATGTATCACTATCTCGTTTTTGCTTCCGACTCTTGCGTAAAGAACTCAGACTGAATGCAAGTAAACACTGGATATTTAGACCTACTGCTAGAGCGGGTATGTTCAACATTCATTATCCTCGTATCAACAGATAACGTTTTGTGTTTTTCAATAGCTTCTTTTACAGGACGTCCAGGTGGCTTAACCGAATATCTCCTCATGTGCTCTCTGCGCAAGGCGTATCTTTTTTTAAGGGTAGCCTTATGAGTGTCGATCTTATGCGAACGAATGATTCTTGATTACGGAGACTTCTTGTGCTGTTGCTTTTTTACAGTAGATTTCTTCATACTTTTACTGTTTTGCCCTTCATTGCAGTCGCGCCGAGTGTTATTGATATCATCATATGACTGTTTTTACTAAATAATTTTGTTGTTTTGCAATGTTACTAACAAGCTTGGAAATGTATGCTGATTAGATCAACCAGCCCATTCATCTGAATTCTGAGTCTAAATTATCCTATCAGCGTAGCCCAGTCCCTCCACCTTGGTCAGATATCAATTGCTCAAAGATGGTAGAAGTTTATTCCTACCACTTTCCTTTCGAATTTTGCTTTCGTCACAAGTATTCTTCGAAGTCAAGTCACTAGCTTTTATCGGTGGGGCTCGATGACGCCCAAAAACAGGGTCTCAATAAATTTTAGAAGAACCAAGATTCTAGGATATTGGGCAAAGCGCTTTTTCCTTCTGCTTTGTTGGTGTGTATGATCGAATGTCTATGTCATTATTGCAGCGGCTTCGGTATTTGTCTTGCGTTCCATCTGCATAACTCCCTTTCGTTCTGTGACTAGGATTGGTTGGTCTTTTGTCTTTTCTTTCGTGTCCAGGATTTTGTTCGATTTTTAATGGTGCAGCATATGTGTATAAATAAATAAATAAATAAATAAATAAATAAATAAATGACGCCTGTCTTAACACATACATCTCCCAGCCTGTTCGTTTTCAGATTATGCAGTATGGTGTTGCACCCGGGCCCTGTCTAAGCTCTACTGCGTAGCAAGCGCTGTTCTAGACTAGAGGGTGGCGATTCTACAACTCGCTGGTTGGCTCGCGGTCACGTTGGTTTGACGCACGAAACAGGATATTCTATTTTGGACCAGTGGCGTACCCAGGATTTCAGCTCGGGGGGGAGGGGGGCGGCGACAAAAAAAATTTTCGAATGAGGGTGCGTGGCGTTAGCCACGCACTCCGAAAAATTTTTAGGGGTGCATCTCAAAATTTCTGCGGGCCCCCAACCCCTAACCACGCCCCCGAAAAAAATTTTTTTACAAAGCTAATTTAAATTTTTAAAAATTTTTAAAAATTATTTTAATGATTTACAAGTATAAACAAGTCATTTGCACATTTTTATAACCCTTATAAGTAACTTTCAAAAATTTAGCGACCCATTCTCGGAAGGGGAGAGCGCCCCCTCCCGTCCCCGCCCCTCGGTACGCCACTGTTTTGGACATAAAGGTTACAGCTAACGCAGGCGCCAAACGTTGATCCATAACAAGACCCCTTAGTTGACGATCTACTTCCTGGTCCATCGAAACACTGGGCAGTCCTGGCTACCTTTTAACAACGTCATGATCCGCTGGATCATTAAACCATATAAACTCCCAGAGATAATCGCCGGCAGCAGGCATCCGCAAACTCGCGCTTTTCTACAAGCGGCCAGCAAAATTTTTTTGGGGGGAGGTGGCTAAACCTTCAGCGAGAGGCACTTCCTCGTTCTGCCAGCGGGCAGCAATACAAAATCTTCTGCTGGCGCTCGTCAAATAATCTGTTTCAGCGAGCCTAGAGCCTTTCACTGGCCAAACTTTCAGCAGGAGCTCGGAGTCTTTCTACACGGTTTTGGGCGTACGCGCCGAGGAAAGATGAGACTCTATGTGGCAGAGGTGTCATCGGTGGTTCATTACCCGAGTTTGAGGTACTTTCTCTTGGGGGAAGGTACCTACGAGCTGTGCGGTCCTCCACAAAGTACCGCGCGGCCCTCGATAATTTTGCATATTCTCGCGGAAAGTCCGTGAGAATGCGGCCGCTGAGCCGCAACTAATCCATAAAAAACTGCGATTGTTCTTCGAGCATTCGTCAAGAAAATGTCCAATTCTTCCAAATTTCTGCAACGGACCGCAAGCAATCAGCGAATTATTTTTCCCTTGTCCATTTGCCCATAAATCGCATGGCCGGCTGCCCCCGGCAATTATCTGTGATGATGTTATTGACGTTTTCGCTTAGTAACCCAGACACAGCTTGCAGCGCACAGAGTTTGGCAGATTTGAGTAAAAAGACTTGACATCAAAAGATTCTAAGACTTCGTCCTCCATGAACTGAGTAATTCACAATTGCTCCAAAAGAGGCGTTTATATGAATAAGTGCGCGAGGACATAATGCAGCAACTGAATTAGGTTGAGTAGCTATTAATTCCTGTCCCTAGGGCCGCCGACATTGCAAAAAATCTAACTTTGTAATCCAAAGAGTTTTCGGAGCCCCAAGTCCGAAGGTCATTCGTGATAAGAAGAAGAGGACAGCGCATATATACCGGTAGATCGCATTTCAGGCGTGTTACAAGATGATAGGCAGACCCGCCACACCCGTTTCTATAAGCCGTCCGCGCAAGGCGCGGAGAGTGCGCAAGGTGTGCATTGCGCGTCGCTCCTCTTTCCTCGTGCACTCTCGCCGCCTGTTTTTCTCTGCGCTTCTTCTACTCGTGAACTGCCTTCAATGTACGCAACAGCGTTGCTCTCCGTGCGCAGCGCGGACGGGCTATACCCATATCCTATTCAACTTCGACACTGTTTAGTGATTTCTTTCTGCAATATGTCGTTTCACGTCGGTGTTGTAATTGCTATCTCCGCTTATTCTGGTATACCACAAACTCGTCACCTCTATCGCTTATTGCTATTTTGACAGTGTTTCGAGCTTTGAGTTCCCGGAAATCTTTTAAGCCCCTTTCTTTGCGCTGGTGTGAAATCAAAAGTTTGATGCGCATGAATTGCTTAAGCACGGCGAATACTGAAGTTGCAAAAACTCAAAAGCGGAGTCTACTGAAGGAAGTGGCGCTTGCGGTTTGTAAAACATGGACGGGAATGGTATTCTAGGCAATACTGTAATACCGATTTTACTTTGCGTGCTGCGCCTTCGGCTTAACCTTATTTTGCAGGCATCTTGAACCTACTGTAGCTTACCCACAATTTTGCGTGAAACGGCGGACATATTGATTGCAATTTGGTTTTAGTTCATTGCGAAAGTGAGGGTTGCGGGACCGCAAGACCCTAGAAGTCTGTTGGATTTCGTGTAGAAATTCCCAGATGAACAGGATGAATCTTATATATAAAGCTGAATGTCTGTTTGTCTGTCTGTCTGTCTGTCTGTCTGTATGTCTGTCTGTATGTGTGTACGTATGTTCCGAATAGAAAATTCCATTTCTGAACCGATCCGGACCAAACTTGGCACACATACACTTCGGGCTCCGGCGGGTGTCATAGGCTACTTTTCGTCATCGATCGATATCGATTTTATCGATCTTTATCGATTTTTTTGCCGAGTCCACCTACGGGACTGGAATTTGGCACAGGGGGGTAATCGAGCATGCTGATTACGAATACAGTTTTAGTTTTTAGAATTATCCGCTACTTTTATCGATTTTATCGATTTTTTGCAAAGTTTGACCTACGGGGCTGGGAGTTGGCACAGGGGGGTAATCGAGCATGCTGATTACGAATATGATTTTAGTTTTTGAAATTATCCGCTACTTTTATCGATTTTATCGATTTTTTGAAAAGTTTGAGCTAGGGGCTGGGAGTTGGCACAGGGGGGTAATCGAGCATGCTGAATACGAATACAATTTTAGTTTTAAGAATTATCCGCTACTTTTATCGATTTTATCGATTTTTATGCAAAGTTTGAGCTACGGGTCTGGAATTTGGCACAGGGGGGTAATCGAGCATGTTGATTACGAATACAATATTAGTTTTCAAAATCGTCCATTACTTTTATCGATTTTATCGATTTTTTTGCAAAGTTCAAGCTACGGGACTGGGAGTTGGCATAGTGGGGTAACTGAGCATGCTGATTATGAATGTAGTAAGCTGTTTTTGAGAATATCCAGTACTTTGTTTTTTAGAACCTTGGACTAGAAGGGTGTATATTGGTACTTGGTAATGCTGATTCAAACGAGGTTACCTTTATTTCTTATCCTCAATCTTGCATCAAAATATTTCTTTTCTCCTATTTAGGACTGGATTTCGGTAAGGG